CAAGATTAAGAAGTTTCCCATAATAAAGTATCAAGAGTTCTTGCAAATCAAAGTTGAATGTTTGCTTTCAAAGAGTAGAGGTTATTACACAAAATTTGTTTTCAAAAGCCTAGAATATAAATTTATTGAACAATTCTGAGAACATCGGAAATTTTCATAATTAGGATAGAATAAAAAGTCAGAAGTTGTCATGAAGTTGTATAAGCAAAGTTGTCTACAGGAAAGAACAAGTTTATCTACAGATAACAGTTAAACACTGATTCACTACTGTTCTAAGCAGAAAAGTAATGACAGATTATGACATATTGCAACACACAAACAAATATTTCTTAGTTAAAACTAACATCAGTACAAAGATTGTTCTTCCCACTTCTACTGTTTTAGTTTGGTCTTGTTAGGAGGACGTGGGCAACTCTTTTGTAGAGAAGAGATCACCAGAAGTCTAAGTAGACCTGAAAAACAAACCGTGTTTCAGCAAGTAATTTGTAGAATATTCATAAGCAGGTAAAGTATTTGACATTCCATAAATGCAAGAGTGTGCTGAAAGACAGCTTCTGCTTGCATCATGACACAAGAAAAAACTCAGTGACTAAAAGCCTGACCTTGCCAATTATCCTCTACATAACGTGGCACCATCTCTATGCATTTAAGAATGAATCATGCAGAAACATGGGGTAGTTCAAATTAATATGCAAAGATATTGCTATGAAACAACTAGAACTATTAGTCTTGTCTCAACTAATCTATTTTTAGGACACAGATGACTCAAACTACCGTAACTTAAAAATATATTTAAAATTTTTAGTCATCAGAGACTAGTGCCCTGAGGTTGGCACAAGCTACTTATAAATGTCAGAAAAGCATGTAAACCTTGTTAATGTTTTCAGAAATTCATTTAAAGATAGAAACAGGTCCAAAAAGATGCCTGCCTAAATGCATTGCAATTACGTTACAATTATTTTCCAAATACACAGATATGCTCTGTCTTTTCTCAGCTCATTACTGACTCAAACAATTTGCCCTTCTGGGATCAATTGTTTGCTAATAAATAATTGTTTACAGTCACAAAATGATATTAAGCAGTATTCTTATTAGTTTTCCTTCTACAGTCTAATAAGATTCAAAACTAGCTGATTCCCAAGAGTCTAACCTTAACCTTGCTGTGTTTAACAGCCCAGGAAATGATGAACCATCTGTTTCAGAAAATAATGGAGGGCCGAGAGGAAATATTGTTTAATTGTAGATTAACCTCCTCATACGGCAGAATGAAGCATCTACAGAATTAGCAACCATAACTAGCAAAGAACAAAAATAACTGAAAGCAGCTCTTAATATTACAAGACCAATAACAATAAGTATTCTTCTATCACTTTAAGTATTTCCCAAATGTGTATAAGCTGCAGAACCTGAACAACAACTATGACAAATTATCTCTTGATTTTTTAAATGAGCAAAGCCACAGGATTAAGAATTGAAAGTCACTTTATTTTTGCCCATCAGTGGAAAAACTATTTTAAAACAAACCTCTTCAAGTGAGAGATTTTTGTTTTGTTTTGTTTTTTTGGGAGGGGGTTGGTTTGTTTGTTTTTTGTTTTTTTTAAAAATCTTTCTCCCCACATCTGCACAGCGGGGTAGTAGCTGCTCTGAAGCAGTACCTAGGTCACTTTAGAGGAGAAAAGGCTTTGAGGTTTAAGACTCCAACTCCGCTACTTGGCTACATATATATCCATGGAATGAACAATTGAGTCGATGGAAAAATACAAGCCAGTGAGTACTAAAAGAAGAAATTAGCAGTGACAATTCACAAGAATTTAAAACTCTAATCTCACACTGGCAAAATGAAGAGTGCAATTCTGCAATTTTTTTTTCTCTAAACATTCATGTCAGAGCTTAACAGAAGTCTTTCCCTCCAGTGATCAGCCCCATTTTGACAGTAGTAACAGAACAGCATGTTAGAGAGCTGCAGTAAACACAACAACTGAGAAAGCCCTTTACTTGGTTTTACACTGGATCCTGCGGATCCTGTTAAATTTAACAGCTTGGCACCTAGACACTGGGCTTCATTAATTTCATCAATCCTAAATTTTAAATATCCATGTACAATACCTTAAATTATTTTTGAATTCTTCACTTAATTTTTGAAGCAATGATCTAGCAATAACTCCACAGCTTCATATAATAGCATGCATTCAGAAAGGATAGGAGTTTGACATTCTTCTTCCAAACAACTAGGCACAATTTTATCCACAGACGTCTATCAACCTACGGATATTGAAAGCTTGGGCGAACAAGATAAAATCAAATCCAACCCTACTGTCAAGCTGCACTATCTACTGGCATCAATAATGCTATTCATGAGTTTAAGAAAATTAATAAATCCTGGGATGAATGCTCAGAAAGGCTCAACCTCAGGTGAAGCATACTCACTTGGGTTTTGTTTCTGCATCTGTCACTTGGCGAATATAGATACCGTCTTCGGGATGCTCCACGTCATCCATTTCGTACATGTAGGAGGAAGCGATGGCCAGGGTGGTCCCGTCGTTGCTGAAGGCAAGGGATGCGATGCTTGTGGGATACCGGTGGAACTGACACAGCCGCTTCTTATTGAAGGGATCCCAAATATTTACAAAGCCATCAGAACCTCCTGCAAAAAGGAATTAACAAAACCCATTAACAAGTTATAATTGGTAGAACTTCCAGACTGACCACGCACAGCAAACCAAAAAATATAAAGCTATCTGGAATACATTGTCAGTCAAAGCACAAGGTTATACAGAGTTGAATAACACAGCAGAGAGCACTACGAGTATTTCTTAAAATCTGTTAAAATAATTAACTCTCAGTACATAAAATTATTTCAAAACCCTGCTCAAAGCAAGTATGATTTAAAGGCCTATAAAGTAAAGGCACATCCAGTAAAAGTGACCTGTTTAAATGAAAACTTAAAGGAGCTGATGTACTGAAAACAATTTTTGACACCAACAACTGAGTAACCACTCTACCTGTAGCAAATGTGTTGTGGACATTGTGGAAAGAAATGGCATTAACTGGATAAATATGTTCAATGTTATTCTCCTTCAAACGGTGACATTTGAATGCATATTTCTTCTTCTGTATTTCAGGACTTGGATCCAAATATTCCACTGCAACACGACCTTCAATAGAACTTAAAACATAACCCTATCAAGGAAAATTGGAGATATGCATTTTAGAAGTTTAGAATAGGAGAAAAAGGTAACTTTAAACACACATAATCTTTTATTGATCTCAATTGAAATAAATAAAATGTAAACAATCTTATGTTCTGCACAACTGGAAATTATTTGTTACCACAGAGCCATGGCATGGTTAATAAAACCTGTTTCTGATTATAAAAACTAACGTAGGAAAAGCTTTCCAGGAAATTCTCACTGCACAAAGTTTACAGTGAAGCTTTCTGTTTACCACTGCAGGTCCAAACACAGGTTTATTTGGGGGAGAAAAAAGTTAATACTCCTCTATATTTGCCCATCTATCTCACAGGGCCTAAGTACCTTGAGTGCTAGGAATACTCATCAGACTTCAGTTTCAGAATTGCATTACAATTAGTTCAGCGCATGCTATTTTCAATTAAATGCTCAAGGCTAAAACAGTACTTTCAGCAAAACTCAATTATAAGGCTACTTATCTAGCTAGGTATTGCCCTGACTTAGAACTTCTGAATTCAATCTCTAAGAGATCTGGTCAGAAAGAGGAAAAAATATCTACCTCTATCAAGGTTCTTAAAAATTCACACTAAACTACAATCTGGAAGATCAGTTTGCTATACTACAAATAAAAAAATAAATTAATTAAAAAGCCACAATCACGCCAGCTCCAAAACAAATAACTACATCTCCCAGTGCCTGTAATTTCACTGCTTACACTGGAAAAGTCTTCCGCATTAGTTCTTGCTTATGTCAGAGTAAGCTGATCTTGCTGTACTTCAAAAAGGCCTAGAAACTGCAGATACGCTATGTTAACCCATGTGGAATAGCTGTATGATCACTTAAATTGTACAATTCCCTCTAGATAATGGGTCATCAGGTCTCGAGTGCATGACAGTCAGATTCGAAGAAAGAAAATAAAAAGGGAGGAAAATAAAAGCCACAATCACTTTATTTTTATCCTATCCCTATTGAAAAATCCGAGGCTGCAGTACCTAAAAGCTACAGAACAACTTCCTAGTCTGGCTTTCCCTTTTCTATTTCTATTTTTTTGTTTGTTTTTTTTTCCCCCCTAAACATTACACATCAGTAATATGATGTATTAAATAGCCAGTTTAAAACAGTGTTATCGTGGAGGAAAAAAGAGAATCTGAGAAAAAGTAAATGAGGAAAACACTGATGAGTAGGGATGGCAAACATTTGTAAGCTACACTTCTTCCAAAGAAGAATCTGGAACAAGGTGTGTCAATTTTAAAAAATTGATTGTTATAGTATTGTAACTGTACTCTTGATTTAAAAAAACAAAAGTGAGAGAAAGGGGCAGAAAGCTTCAAAATAAGCAATCATCATTCCTTAAAAAAATTAAAAAAAAATAAAAATCCGCAGAAGTACAGTTACTGCCGTGGTTTCCATACCTGTTTATTTGGAAATGCCCTGATGCAGCGGGTCTGGTACTTGAGGCTGGATTCTCTCCGCTGCTGGACATAGCCCATGTTCCGCAAATCCCACACCAGCACGCGCCGCCCTGCAGTCCCCACGATCAGTCTATCTCCGGACACGGACAGCGTGTACACCTTTTAGAGGAACATCACAGCATTAGGCACTTATTAGCCTGAATATCCAGGGTTCGTTGTACACAAAGCATCAGCAATATGAAATAAAAAAGTACAATTCAATCCATAGCTACAGATTCATTTCACTTTAGTCTATCGCTCAATTCTGGGACTAATAGTGTGCAGTCAGGTACTGCTTAAACACCAATGAAGCATTTCAAGAGCTCACCCTTAAATCTGCACACTAGTATATGCCTTTAATAAAGCTTAACGCAGTATCATCCAACAAATAACCGATTTACAAAAAATGAATATGCACTTTAAAATTAAAAAATTAACATTTCTTCAATGGTTTACTAGTCTGAGACCAGTGATATTTAGATAGCATACCATACAGAGCATTTCTCGTTTGCCTGGTATTACCCCATTCTAAATTCTTTATGCGTACAGTAGCATTACTGCTTACGTATAATTCAAAAGTGAAATCAATATTATTCAAGTTTTCCTCAAATTATTTTAAGTATTAAATAGGCAATTTCAAGCTAAGAGAAAAATTAACAAAGTAATTGAAAAATGGCTATGGAAATTTTTATTTGATGTGCATAACTTGCAATCTGCACAATCGAGTCACGATAACTCACTTCGGGCCTACAGTCCTTTTGTCTTTTTTAAGAACAGAACACATTACTTCAACTTGAGTTTCATGTTAAAGGAAAATCATCAGGAAAAAAATAAAATTTAATCCAATGTATGCTTCCATAAAACTGACTGAAGCAATATGCTTGAATTCTATTAGAAAAATAAAGCCTGGAAGTTTCTCCAGGCTTTCCGTTTCTCCAATTTCTTGTGAAATTATTCAGCATATAAATCATTCAATTTCTAACTATTATTTGAGATGCAGTAATCTGAGGATGTCAAAATAAATCAAGTTTGATCAAAACCTCTGTACTATTAATTGAATTTCAAGTTGTTGATACGCAAGCAAGATGGAATCCAGCTTCCTAATAGTTGTGCTGTCACTGAGCTGTTAAAATGACTAACAAAAACAAGCTTCTAGAAGTGATCTAATGAGGCTAATATATACGTAGTAGATGCTGTAAATGCCTCAGAACTTGAATGGTACCTGTAGGAGGATCTGCTATTCTACCAGGATTCAATTTACTATTGACATCTGCTTGTACAATATAACTGAAGGACATGATTTCACTGCCTACTTCTCTGAGATAAAGCCCAAAAGCAGCTACTTGTTTCTGGTAAGAATGCACTGAAACATTAAACAAAATAGCTTTTCTGATGATTTCCCACAAATATTTCTATGTTCTCAAAAAAATGATTTTTAGCATAAAGGAAATATTAAGCTATTACCTATGGTGGAGTGCATGTATATAAATATGTATGTATAAAAATGATGTATAAAACTAAGGGCAAAGCTTGCTTTAACTAATACACATTTGCTAGGCATACATTCTTGCTTTGAGCAAAACATGTTTCTCAAGACTGAAACACAAGAGTTCACCTAAGACACCTAAAACTTCTGATGATCTCAAACACCAAATCCCATTTAGATATTAAAGAGGATGAGAATGCTGAGCCAAGAGTAATTACACACATTAATGGGACAGCTTTTAAAATTTCCCTTTCCAATTGCTGTAAAAACTGATCCAAAAATATTAACAAACAATACAATTTTTATACAGGTATGAAAACAAAGGCATAAAGAACATTAAATACCCTAAATCTTCTTTACAAACTGATGTCACACCTGTATAGTAAGTATTCTTTCTACACCACACAATCATAAATCAAATGAAAGCATTGGCATGCAGTTGAGTAGGTATAAGCATTTATCAAAAGCAGTATTAAAAAAAATGACATAATGAACCTTGCTGAACCAATAAGCAGCTTGATTCACTGTGCCTGTCCTTTATATGATATTCTGTCAGCAATTTATCACAGTTCTTTACATGCTACACACAACTATAAATCAAAACTAGAAATAATGCAATTACTTTATTCTGAACAAAGGTCTTGCCAGAAGTAGATTCAGCTGTGTTGTGACAAAAGTAATAGCTGTTTAGATGCAATATGGAACACAATGATGGTTCACAACTATGACTTGACAATATATTTTAACAGAATTAAATGAAATATAAAAGGGGCATAGGCAAAAAAAATCATGTGCAAAAATATCCAGAAACTCAGCATATGCTTAAGAGTCTATAATAAAAAATTATTTTCTAGTAATTCTTATTAGTGACATCACCTTAAGCAGTCTAAAGATTAACATGCCACATCACCCTTAGAAAAGGTTTAAGGCACTATATTTATAGCCTTTCTTCCTCTTGGTCTGTCATTTACACAGAATATTACAAAAATGTTTTATTTTACTAAGCCTTAGTACAGCCAAGGGTAACTTTCAATACAAGCAATTCTGTCTAATCTTTTAAAACAAGAAATAAAAGTATTATTCTAAGAAGAATAATTAGAATTAGAGGAATAATTTGAGGAAGTGGCCTCCTACTATACTTTCACGCATACTTCTAAATAATATGACTGCCAGAATCTCATCTTTATAAATGTTAATATCAAACTGCAGTATGTACTACCCCTGGTTTAAGAAGTCTGTGCAATTAACAACTGCCTCAATTTCTAATGCTGCATTTGTTATGCTTTCCTTCCCCAACTGCATTTTAGAGCAAAAAGGTTTGGCAGTTCACAAAGAATTAAGTTAAGCCCTCTTAATGACAAAAACTCAAAACCTGAACCTGAATCTTGCTCCATTAACTAAATATTATTTTCAACATTACAGTTTACAACAATTATTCTCACAGCTTTAAAAATATCAGAAGTAACACTCTATATTCAAGTTTCATAGTTTAAGACAGCATATTATACATGATGTTTAACCACTCACAGTGTGTATTATTTGACATATTACCCAGGATAGAGCATCTAGGACCTACCTTTTCAGGCTGAGAGAAAGTCCCTGCATTACAAGGAGTCCTGGGATCCCACAGTTTAACTGTTTGATCCCAGCTTCCAGTCACCATTACATTCACTTCTGGGCAATACTCAACACATCTGATGGGAGCATCATGGGCACCAACAAGGTTTTCTTTAAGAGAAAAAGACAGTCTATGTTTAACCTTATTGGTTTCACAAACATGCAAAATATGTTGTAGAGAGGATTAAAAAAAGCATGTGTTACTACAGTAACAACACACATTCCCATTAATCTATTAGGATTCTCTTTAAAGATAGCCCAATCCCCAAAGCATAATTTTCAAGGATCAGACACATTAAGTTTGGACTTGTCTCATGAGATCATCAAATGATATTAACAGCTCTAGGCTGCCACAAAGACCTACAGAGGTATAAAGCATTAAATATCCACTTGACATCACTACCTGTGACGCAACCATTTAATATAGGAAACAATGAAATTTAAGCTTGCACACATTAATAGTACAACAAGAGAAAGAAACTGTGGTTAACATAAGCACTTCTAGTAACTCATCTGTAATATTAAAATAAAGGTCAAAATTTTACAATTGCATACAAGGGCATGAAGCTCTGGCCATGAGCTGACTTAGGCAAATATTACCTTTCGCTCTCCCCACTGCCACCAAAGTTAGACAAAGCAGCTCCTTACTCTGCAGCAATTAGACACTGGAAAAGTCTGTGTTTAATTCTAGCAGTGCTTTCTTACAAGCAAACATAGCATAAGGCTATGAAACTAGAAAATGCAAATCTATATCCTAAGGACATACCTTTTGCCAAAATCATGAAAGACTATTCCAAATATTGTCAAATTACAAACCTTTGAAAATAACATGCTGAGAGTTAGTACAGTTTAGCTAATTCTGCCATGAGACACACATGAAAGGACATCACTTATCAGAAATCCAACTCAAAAAAGTATTTACCAAACTTTCTAGAAAACTGACAAACCTTTTCATAGCACCTATTAGGGACAGTAGCTTTCCAGCTAAATAAAGGTATATATTGTTTTTAAAGATCCAACCATGCAGAGGAACACTAAAACATCAGTGTGACAGGAATATAATTTTCCTACCATTCAACTGTCATCTTGAAGTAAATAAGAAATATATCTATGCAAAATAAATAGTGAATATTCATCACTGTGTAAGTAAAATCCCTAAGCTTGGCACAACAGATGAGGCTCTCCTGTTAAATAAACTGTAGCAGAGTCTTTAACTGCACCAGGAGGAATCCTGTCTGTTCAGTGCCCTAGATAGCTCCACCTTGGCGATGAGAGGGCTGCAGAGCAGTGCTGAGCATTGATAGTGACAACTTAAGGTACAGATTCTACAGATTGAAACACACAATGCAGCATATAGTGCTAAAACACTGAAAACAGACATGCTGAACATCCACCTTTAGCAAAGCTTTTCTTTTTTGGTATTTTCAAGTTTACTTCTATGCATCTTAGCACTCATTTCTACAAACAAGGACACCCCATAGATGCATTGTCAGCAAATATGTTTGCAAAGCATAAAGATCAGCTTCACAAAGAAGTTAAAGTATGTATTTTTAGCTTAAAAGAAGTGAGCATTAGTTACTAGAAGCAAAAAAGCAGTCGAGATCCTATGAAAAAAACATGTTACTGTATACCATAAGCCAAATAATTATAAGCTTTGTATGCACAAAAGTAAACAGTCACCTTGCTTCTAATACACATACAGCACAATCTTAAATTTTACATCAGGAAGCAAGGGATAAGAGGGAGAATCATGCAATGCATACATCAATGCCATTGTACCTGACTTCCAAGGAAAAGCTTTAGGAACCATTTGCACCTTTACCAAGGCTATTTACCTGGATCCTCCCTCATTGTGCTAGACATTTTCCAGGGCTAGAATGACACTAATTTTTAAACTACCTTTATGCAATGCACAAAAGCAAATGTGACTTTTCTCACAATGTTTCTGACTGAATGAGAAACACTTGTACCAACAACTAATATATACAAAGTCTATCAATTAAACCTGAGCTACTGTTAAAAGTAAGTATCCCCCATGTAGAGAACTATCTCACACTACCATTTTTCTCTTGCATAAGTATATAAATGTTACATTTAGCCCAATTGGCATGTTTAGTCAAATTACAGAAATCAATCTGCTTACCTTGGTCTGTGTTTAGGTCGTGCATTTTCAATTGTTGATCTAATCCTCCACTCCAAGCATGGGTGGGATCCTACAAAGTAAAAGTGTTCACCTTATAGCATGCATTTAGTATCTTATTTGATACACACTCAGCCTCCTCAACACATAAGAAAACTTTTTTTCCTCCTTCTGTCAATAATTTAAGATAGATGGAAATTAAGATATAACAGGCAGATGAAACAAGCAGATGACAGAAGCTTTAAAAACATTCAAGTGAAGCACTTGGAGCTATAGAGCTTTTTTAATTTGAAAGGAAAACTAAAAAAAAAAGTTAGAGACTGTATCAAACCACTTTCATTTCTGTAATAGCAAAACACACATAATGTTTGCTGTTTCTTAAACTAGTTCCAAATGAAGTGTATTCAATCTAAAGCTCATTTAGAAGCAAAAAAAAAAGAAAAAGATGACCTGTTAAGTTGTACAAAATATGAAGACTGGATGTACAAAAACAGTGATATGCCAAAACAGCTAGAGGAAACAAACAAACAAAAAAAAGTAGAATTAAAAATTTGAATTGATCCTTACAACATATAGTAAGGCACCAAGTCAGAGGAACATGACAGAAAAAAAAATGCTTGAAGCTTTCCATTTTGTATATAATATAAAACCAAAAGAAGCAGCACCAATAAACTAAGGATACTTCAAATCCAGTATTTTCAAAATACAGAGGGCATTTGGCAAATGGTTCATCTGGAACAATGAGCCACTGTTTCCTAAAACAGCCAGTATGTGTTTTTTTTTTTTAAAAAAAGGGAAAAAAAAGGAAAAAACACACAACGACTACAGAGAAAGATTTATATATATATACACGACTCCTGTGAAAGATTTGTAGGAACACACTAGAGGTGCAACTCTTCTCAGGGAGCTTGCAAATGATTAAACATACCATTGAAGAAGCAACATAAGCAAACTAAAATGGTTTCATCTACCACAGATAAAAACACATCTGCAGGCAGTTATATCAAAACTGATTGTAGTTTTTAGGTTATTCTGTTTTCTGTTTTTTTAAAAAGTAAATTATCTTTGTTGCCTGCACTATTCACAGGAAATACAGACTTAGAACTAGAAGAATTTCATTAAAAAAATCAGTAATTAGTAGAAGCTTTAAAAAAAAAAAAAAAAGAAAAAGACACACACACACACACCACCCTGATAAGTTAAATGGAGAGTTCTTGACACAATAAACGATTTCTCATATACCTTAGACACTATAAATCTAAACAGCAGAAGGCACTTACATAAAAAGCACAGTCAAGGACAGCTCCTGAATGTTGATATTTGAGTCTCAAGGTGTTGGCAGGAACATCATAGAGTCGGACAGTTGTGTCCCAGGAGGAAACGAGCAGAAACTGAGATGTATTTGGACTAAACTTTACCGAGGAAATACCATCATCTGGAGTTTGGTTTAGTTTGAACTCGTTCGACCCTGTCATCTAAAGAAGTGATGATAAAGCATGGTATAATTTTAGGGCTAGCAAGAACATTAGCTCAACAAGATCATCAAGTCACTGACATATCTTAAAAGGTAACTTAAAGGAAACATGAGAAGTTTGGTGGCTTTTCCACAGTAAGTGGAGAACACCCAGATTTCTGACAAATTGCTCAGAATTGCAGATACTAATCACTGTGTCCTCAGTGAATTCCTCCTGATGCTGTAAAGTTTAAATATCAAATAATGCATGAAATAACTAGTACAAGGATCTGACAAGCTTAGACACATAATACCATTGTTCTAAGTTTGGACATATAATACCATTACTTAAAAATGTATTCTTTCTCCTACGCACACACACTACATTCTATACAGTCTACACATTCTTAAAAGTTTATCATCATAAGTTACTCTAAGCATGAAGTTACTTTACGAAAATGCAGGCAGAAGGAAGCGTGATTTAAAAAATCCTAAAAGAAGCATTCGTGATTAGTAGGATTTTCATAAACTTCCAAGAATTGCAATTTCCACTCCTAAAGTGCTCAAGGTCCTCTGAAATTTTCTATTATTTCAGTTTCCCTACGTGCTGCAAAATAACCCCAACAAAAGAGCTTTAAGATATTTCCTTAGAGTGTAAATGCTGACAGACAAAAAGGAGAATCGGGCTTTGTGGGAAGTTGAAACATAGACCAGATGTGTAAAGACAGAACAAGACAAAAAGAAAAAAACACACACAGCAGCAATTCAGTAACAGATTAATAACTCTAAAGATAATTGCAGCAGTCATGCTTAACAGAACTACCTGCACATATAAGAATTCAAAGTAGGAGTCAGGCTATAAGCAGCAAGTGTCATCTAAAAACATAGTGCAGATCTTGCAAATGCTCTAAATGAAGAAACCGTGCACTATATATGCACCAACATAACCTCCAAAACCTCTCAAAATGCTTTCTGGACCCTTAACAGTACATTTCTCCTTTGGAAAAAGTGCAAAGAAATGAATTAGTCCAGATGAACTTTCTCTCTCCCAAAATTCTACGGAGAACTGCAGAGGCAAGATTAGACCCCCAACAGCAAATCAAGGGATAAGGTTCAAATTCAGTGCACAGTTATTCTATTTCAAGATTTTCAGTCATTGTGAACAATCAATCTGAATAAAATGTTGCAAGCACACATTTTTACAGCAGAAAAGTAAGTTTTCTTAAGCAAGAATTTAGAGAGGTGTTCTGTAAGACACTCAAAAATACAGATTTATTTAAGCATCCTTTACTATTTAAACATTACATTAGAAAGTCCTCATGAAAATAGGAAATAAAAACTACCTACTTAATCATTTTTTCAGCAGAGTTTTGAGACTTTGCTGAAAAGACAAAAGTCAGGAATACTTAAACCCTGCCAATCATTACCACATGCATACTGGTGAATTGTTCACCTTTATCACACTTTAGGTTGTGAAACGCACTTAAATGAGTATTTTAGATGAATGTAAAGAGACACAGAACTACAGGAATCAAGAACAAGAACAGTTAGACCAGACACAAAGCTTACCTTGTCTATTTGCAGCAGACAATTTAAACAAGCACAAGATTTGAGGTGCCTGGCACCACAGTTACAAACCACCCCAAAAGCAACAACAAGCAGGAGCCTAGGAAACAAGCTTAGGTCAAAGACACAAAAGGATCATCTGGTACTACTCTTAATACAGGAAAAAAGTACCCAAAATGGAATATATAAATAGCTTTTCTATCATAGCTTATTCTATCTATAGCTTATCTACTATCTTTAAAAAATAGCAGTCTCACACCAAGAGCACCTCAAGCTTTCAAAAGCACAGGTTCTTCACAAACAGGACACTAAGCAATAGTTTTCATGGCAATATCCAGCAAAAGAATGCTGACAGAATTTCAAACATTGCATAAATCACATGGGGGAAGAAGCAGGCTCGTGAAACCGTGCAGTGGTTTTAAGTACAAAATGCACCTTGCTCGGCCTGAAAATCCATTTAACCGGGAAAAAAAACATTAACATGTAAGTGCAACCGGCGCGATTTTATAGCCCCTCTTAGTATAAGCGGGCGGCCAGGGTGACCCGACGGCAGCGCGTCCGCGTCCCGCCCCCGGTACCGTTTTCATAGTGCACGAGTTCGGCTCGGAGCGACGCCGAGCGACAGCGGTTCCTCCTGCAGAAGCGTCGAGACAGGGACGGTCCGGGAGCTGCGGGGGAGGCGAGAGCGTGAG